AACAAATTGTTTTCTTTCCAGTATTTATTTTAACTTTTGGTTTGTGTAAATATTGTTTTGATGCATATCTAGTGTTATAGGAATGTACATCGTTTGAATATTTTAAAAAAATTACCGAATACACTTGGAAGATTTTCTCATGCCAGTCATGAGTGAATGTAAGAATATGGAGTTTATGGATACTACTCTTCCCAGTAGACTGAGGTAGTTGTGATTTTTTAATCGCCTTCGTAGCGTCTGTTATGTTATCCGCAAGTACRTTTCAAATYGACCGCGTGATGCCAATGTTGTACCACGAGGACAAGTTTTTTACACCACGCGATTAAAATTTGACTGAATTAGAATTAGACTGACCGGTCTACTGGGAAGAGTAGTATTTTGAAGGTTGAGAATTTCTAATAGATTAAGAAGTGTAAGAGCACTATCAGTATTTGGACCATAAAGTGTGGCAAAGAACATGATTCTTATAAGATGGTTCTGTTTTGTTTGAAGCTTTTTGATGTGTTTGATAAGCACTGCCCCATGCTATAATAGCATAGGAAGGATAAGGATACATGCATATAAGATCATCATATAACTTTCTTAACTGTACAAGGGGTAGATAATACCTTAATTTAGAGATTATACCAGTATTTCTTGAAATTTTTGACCTTACAGTCTATGTACATAGAGATGTGATAATTCCATGTTAAGGTGTCGTCAATCATGACACCCAAGTACTTAATATGGACAGTTTTTGTAATAGATTTGATATTTTCATGTCAATATTTCCATATTTTTTTCTTGATGATTTTATTATCACAAAGTTGGTCTTTTTAAAATTGATGGATAATTTGTTTGTATCACACCATTTTTTTTACTTCAATTAATTCTGGTTTCTAGTTCAGAAATATTTTTTGAGGCAGAAATAATAAATTGTGTCATCTTCAAATATTTTGAAGGACAGCAGACTAGAACAATTTGGTAGGCCATTTATATAGATGAGGAATAGTAGTGGCCCTAGTGCAGATCTCTGCAGAATTCCATTTTATTTCTTGTTTGGAGGATTCAATATCTTCTGTTGTTACATATTGCATCCTGTTAGATAAACAATTTGTAAACCAATCTAAAGCAATACCTTGTATGCCATATCTTTCAAGTTTTTGCAATAGTATCTGATGTCTTACTGTATCAATTGAAGGCTTTTGAAAAGTTGAGAAAAATACCACAAGTAAATAAATTATTATCGATTGCTTTTGCAGGATAAGATGTCTTCACTTACAGTACACATTACAAATTAAATTGAGTCTTGCCTTGCCCAGAGAAGTGACAGGTTGATAAAGGAAGTAGTTGCAATAAAGGAGGATTTGAAGACATTGAAGTCTACTTTAAGAGATGTAAAGGTACGTATGCATGAATACATTGATTTGTAACCTTAATCTTTGGTCGTTTTCTTGCTCACTGTGTTTGCAGTGTAGACACTCTAACYAGGACCACTTTTACAAAGTTAACCAATCACTACATAGAGTGACAACTGTAGCCAATCAGGCAGGAGATCCTAAGTTGACCTCAGGCAATCACAATCTTTCATTCCCCAATTTTTTTCATTGACATCTAAGTATTTTCTAAGATATAGAATTCAGATCTAGGTGTTTTTGCTTGTTCATATTAATTTTCGTAAAATGAATCCCAGTTAGTCTGTCCTTAAATAAAATTAATTTCTAAATTGGTATGATAAATATATAAATAAATCCCTCTTTCCTTTTAAAATTTCTTTTTAAAATATACGTTGTACTCGCTAGGTTGCCTCTGATTGGCTGAGATCAATTAGCCAATCATTAATAGCGTGTGAACTTGACATAATAAATGTATTATCTGCAGATTGTTAACAATCTGAATTAATAATAATATTTAACTTATTTTATTCATTTTTGATGATTATTGTTCATCGTTATTTCTCAGAAACGTTTTAAAGATCAACTTGGCAGTGCCAATAGTTACACATGGACAACTCCTGACTACCCCACTTTATGCAAGAAATATGCCTGTGCCTCAAGCTTCCAAAGTCCTTTTTTCTGGTTATGTAGTTACAGACTTAGATTATCAGTATCCCCTAATGGAGATAGAGAAACAAGTCTTTCATTCCTCTCTTTATACCTAAAATTATATGAAGACCATTTGCTGACATCTGGTGATGTTCATGTGGTGCCCAGCAGTGAAGCCACTATAGGTTTCAGGTAGTGCCACACACCCACCAGTATCCAAACCTGCYTTTCAACGTGGGGCATGGGTTATATTGTTGATAAATTAGTATCAAAAGCTAAAAAATAAACACCAGCTTCTCAGCAGACAATGTCTGTCCAACATTGGCACTTATCTGGCCAAATGCCTCTTTTAGACTGGACACACCAATGAGTCACATGTAGCAATTCTTATGAATAGATTGTCAGATGGAACCCTGAAACAACCTCTGGGCTGATCTAAGTYAGGGCATGGCTAACTCAAAAATCGAGCCCTGAAACAACCTCTGGGGAGATCAAGGTCGGGGTATGGCTAACTCCCAAATAAAACCCTGAAACAATTTATGGGCTGATCAAAGTTGGGGAATGGTCAACTCATTGAATTTGAATTTGAATTTATCATGTGTAGGTGTATAAGGAGTTGAAATCTGAGAATCCAGAGAAAACCCAATCAAAGGAGAGACCTATAACAAAAAAAAAATTTTTAAACCACCACTCCCCATACGGGGCTCTTCCGTAAGGTTCCCTCCACACGCACTACCTCTACATTCTATACTTACAACATACAACACTCACATATTGCTTTTTATGGAGGGAGGAAACCGGAGATCCCGGAGARAACCCTCGTAGCAAGAGAGAGAACAACACAACAAACAAACTCAGCTCACATATGATCCAGTCTGAGCCAGGGCTCGAAACCCTGACCACAGTGGTGAGAGGTGAGCGGTAAACCAATACGCCACCCAAACAAACTTTTTGAAGTAAATGTTTTWTCATACCAATTAGTAAAACTTTACCAGATTAACTGTGATGAGCTAAGTGCCTGGTGTCAATGATATCGCTCAAAAAAGACTGGAAAGTGCTAATATGGTCAATGATTTTACTATCTTATTGTTAATCAAAGTACAGGAAACTAGCGTTTTCCATATAGAAAAAGATATATGAAAAAGAGTGTAAGACTGTGAACGAGCACCGCAAACATTGTTTTAAATCAGTTTATCTGTCGCAATTAGCTTGTGCTTTAACTAGGTAAATGTCTTACTTTATGTATTGTTGTAAATTATAGCACTAAAGACATTTACCTAGTTAAAAGCACGAGCTAATTGCGACAAACTGATTTAGGCAATTAGCTGAAAATTTGAAAATTACATTTTTAGGTCAGGCACTGAAAAAGTAGTAGTAAAATACAAAAAGAGGAGGGGGG